GGTTTGTGGACATACAAGAGGGAATCTTGTTGCTACCAGTATTTTGCCTATTAGTAGCAGAATTGCTTATCTAACTTGAAAATTAACAGAAACATAATTCTATTAAGGAAACAACCAAATAATCCTATGCAGTGAGAGATTTTCAAATTTAACTACCTATTGTATTTGTCCTGCCAAAATACATTTGGTTAATGTTCTGTTTCCTTTCAAACCTATACCTGTATGGGATCACTTGCCAGATATGAAGGATTTGCTGTTATCTAGGATGTAATAACTGCCCTCCATAGGATAGGATTTGTGTAGACATCACCTTGGTAAATACTACCTACGGACAAAAAATATGATTTCTGAGTGCTGTGATCAATATTTGGGCAACCAGCTCTTCCCATTATGATCCTTGTCATATCAAGCAGGTTCATTGCTAGCTACTGCTTGATTCCTTTTTCCTGACTCATTTTGTCCCAACTCTATTCTCAAAGTTGTGTCAATCACTGCTTTGTCAAGGTGTTACAGGTCTGTTACCGTATCTGCTTTGTCCATCATTATATTTGCCAGGAATGCCCTGGCAGAGAAAAATATAATACTCCTTGGAGTTAAGAAAATATTATTCTGGCAAGTGGCAAATTATAGGCAATTATTGCATAATTTCAGAGCGAAGTGAGCAGTTATTTGCCCAGAGGGAACATGAAGTAGCCATGAAGGAAAATGACCCCATGTATCTTGAAAGAAATTAAAAAGTAAGAATCAGTGACAATTAGGGTGCCTCAAGTGTCATAAATCTCTCCCTTCTGTTTCTTAATTTCAAATAGGATGGCTAAGAAAGTAAAGCATTTACAAAGGAAGGTGTTAAAAATCTAAATTCTACTGCTACAGTAGCTACCGTCAGATGCTCACAAATAGCCTGGCAAACCATCTAAAGTGCTGTTGAATCAAGAAAGTTGAAATTATTTTCAAAGCCATGACTGTTAGAAAAAGTGGCGTTAATGGAGAAGGAAAAGCAGTAGCAGGATAATCTATTTATAGAGGTTTCAGGCTATCTGCCTACATATACAGTGATTTTTTTTTTTTCCTTTGTGGTAATAAAAAAAAGTCAAAACAGGCAATTTTCTAGACAAGTAAATGAATGGGTATAATGGTTTATGACATTTCAAAAATACAAATGAACACACAGAATGTCCCATTTGCTCATAGTATGATCTTAACACATGTGAATTCTGTTAACAGAGACTAAACAAAAATGACATCAGAAATATGCAAACCAAAACAATGTTTAGATCCTGCCCACAACCCACCATTCATGCCTGGGATCTATGTGTGGATTGAAGACCTGCATGCCTTTTGCAAGAACCGGTTACAGATGGAAGAGGTAGACTCTCCCAGAGAAGATAATTTCCACACATAATGTGCCTTATTGTTTTCTATCTCTCTGCTACTCCTTCATGTTCATTTTATTGATTCCTTTAAAACAAATTTATCTGCTTTCATTTAACCATGCATCCAGTCCTGTTGATATTTCTTATTACTCGCTCTTCATAGCTTCCTGAATCCTGTTCAACTTTCTCTTACTTTTATAAATGGAATAACGAAACCCCCAGCTAAACCTCTGAAACACTTCCTCAGGTAGATGGACACTATGATCATTTGTCTTCAGTGTAATTATAAGTCACATAAAGGAGGGAGGATGCATTCCTAGACCTTTTATCTCCTGCCCAGTACACATAGCTTAGTCATGTTCAGAGATTTGGTACATTAGGTAATTAGCACTCAGTGTCTGCACGCGAGAAGCAAGTGTCTGCGGTGGGGAGGAGGACAGTGGGCGAAGGTAATTTTTCTACAAGTTGTCCTCACACTGGCAATCTGTTGTGGAGCAGACCTGATCAAGGCAAATGTCGGGTTGTGCATCATTTTGTCAGTGCATTGGGGAATGGGTGTGCTTCTGATGGAGTCCTGGAGGGGTACTTCTTCTTTTGGCTAAGAAGCAGTTTAAGCAAATGTGGGAAGGTTTTCTTTGAGTGTGTGTCACCCTGCTATCGAGACCTCTTGGCAACATAAATTCAGGGTAACTGTGCATACAACTCCTGAGAGCCTGTGTTGATAATCTTCCCGTGGGTTCACAACTCACAGCTTACGCCTCAGGGATGGAGGGACAGCCATTCTGGCTCTTCCTGATCATGCATGTCCGGGCTTCTATTCTGAGAGGTTGTAATTTCTATTATGCTATTTTAGCATAACATGGTCCCAGACCCCTTTTCCAACTCCACCCAATATTTATATTTTACACTGTACTTTTTTCAAATTAGACTTCTCTCTGTTCTCCACACAAGCTGTGTGCTTTCACATCCCCAGGCTCTGTTTAAGCTCCTCTCTGTCCTACCCATGTCTCTACCCATCTAATTTCTCCTCTTTCTTCAAAGCTTCCTAAAGCCTTTCTCAATCCTCTATTCAGAAATGATTGCCTCCTCTTGTGCCCCAATAACAGTTTTTCTCTTATGACATTTTCACAGCCTGATTTATATGATCGAATCTTGTGTTTATTCTTGATCTATTCACTAACACTATTAGCAAATTGAGGGTAGGACCAATACCTACATTGCCTTTGTATATTCCTGAGTACCAGTGCTTTATTTTTTTCATTGTTTCCATACACACAGGTACACACACACCTATACACACACATACTTACTTTCCCTTTCTTTCCCATTCTCTCTCACATATAGTTTGTACATGGTCTTATAAATCTCTACTCAGAAATTTCATTAATATCTGATAGATCATTGCTACCTTCTCTCCTCCCTCCACCATATTCTAAGAAGAATTAAGAGCTAAATTAACTTAAAGGGTACCAGTGAAATTCTCCTCTGGCATGGTTCAACTCTTTGTCTGAAGTAAATGTAATTCGACTTCCAAAAATAAAGAGGGAAATCTAACCGTCAAGATTGACCGGTGTTTGTGTGTGTGTGTGTGTGTGTGTGTGTGTGTATTTGTATGTCTTGCACTCTTGACCACTCCTGGTGTCACACTGAAAATTTCAGGTTTTGTAGTGAAGAGGCTATTTGGCACAAGTAGTATGCATTCAAATTTCTTCAGCGACCCCGTGTGTGTGTGTGTGTGTGTGTGTGTGAGTGTTTGTGTGTGTAGCATGTCTTGACTCCTTACAGAAATCAAGAACTGGTGAGAATAAAGGAGTCATTTTCACACCTATAAATGTGCTGTTTCCACCCTTTTCTGCAAAGAGCTGACAATGACCTTACTTAAGTACAGTTGGTGCCTCTCAGATTGAGGAAAGGGTGTGAGGAGGGAGCTTTGACAAAAGAACTTCCTAAACGCATTTTCCTAAATATACTACTATAAAACCAAAGGAAAGAGGAGGTTCTCAAACCGAGAGGTTCTGAGAGAGCCATTGGTTACACTTCAGCCGTCACGGATGTTGACAGCTGCCTTTGCCTCCACTCATCTCAAAAACCCATTCTAGATGCCAAGTAAGTGAATCTTCTGGGTAAGAAGATTGCATTCTGCCTGAGGAACACAAATAGCAGACAGTAACTCCTCTGTCCCTGTTAGCTCCTTTCTATCCCTTTGGACTCCCTGAAGCAAGAAAACCTGCATTTCAGCATCAAATCCCGGTGTGTGTGTGTCTGTGTGTGTGTGTGTGTGTGTGTGTGGCAGGACGGTTCGCGCCGAGGGGGGGGGGGGGGGGGGGCTGGATTCTGAGCTCTACAGTATTTCTATTTCCTCCTACTTCCCACTTCTGCATCCTCACTAATAAGGAAATGGCCAGTGGTCTCGCGGGGTGAGAGGTGAGGCAGTTGAGCACCCTAAGGAACCAGAACAACTGTACAGAAGAAAGGATCCATTGTCAGTTCCAGCCCGGCGCTCTGACCCAGGCCGACCCACCAGGGCCCCGGGGCCAGGGAGTGTCTGCCGCTTTCTCGCTCTTACCGCAGGCCTTGACATCGCACTGACAAACCTTTTTTAGCCTTCCAGGAGAAATAAGGGTACACCCCAACCTTCAGAGGAGGAGAGTTAGTTCTGGGAGCTCGCCACGGCTCCATCACTCCAATTCACACGCGCGCACACGCAGGTGTGTGCACGGGTGCTAGGCGGGCTGGGGACGAATCCCCCCGCGCAACTCATCTTTGCACATTTCCAGGACCTCCCTCGTCGCACTCCTCTCGGGGACCTGGCCGGTGCTGTGCTCTGGGGACCCAAGGCGGAGCTCGCAGAGAGGGTCTAGGGGAGACTTCGGACGTGTCCAAGGACGCGGCTAACGCCGACAGCCGAGTTTAACGCAGCCGCTCCAACATCTCGCCCCCTCCCCAATCTCTCTCCCTTAAGTACCTGCTCTTAACGGCAGTGGGTCGACGTGGATGAGAAACACCATACACATCCTTCTCCCTACCCTCTACCACCGGAGGAGACAGGCAGTGTAGACACTAGAGGACCACTGCTTCCCCTTCACCGCGGCGGAGTGGAAAGCGTGGGAAGCGGGCAGCCTGCTGAAGGGTTCAGCGAGAGGGAAGGCCTGGGAGAGACAGACTCTTTCCCCTCCCACGCCCGTGGAGAAATGAAAGCGGCAGCATACACCCCCGCCCTCAGATTCCCCACTCCCGCTAAATCCGGGCGCGCGTAGAGCCCGGGGCAGGCTGGCCGCCCGCAGCACCAGCATCAGCTCCAGCTGCCCACTTCCGCGAACCGGCCGGCGGCGGTGCGGGCGCTCCAGGCTGCCCTCCCTCCTCGGCCCAGGGGCGTCTGCCAACGCGCGGGTCTCCGTCAGGCTGAGCGTGCCGTCGCCACTCGCAGACGTGCTCGTGCCAGCCCGACCGCGGCGGCCACTCCAGCTGGAGGCACCGGGACCCGAACCCGCTTTTCCGAGCTCGACTGCGGACGAATCCTGGGGCCGCGCGTCTCGGGAGAAGCGGCCGCCGTGCGGCGCGGAGGGATACACCTCGGCCGCACCTCCCCTCCCCGCGCCCCCGCCCCCGCCTCCCTCCCCGCCCGGCTCTGCTGCCGCCGCGGCGGCCGCTGCTGCTGTTGCTGCTGCCGCCGCCGCCGCCGCCGCCGCCGCTGCTGCCTGGATATAGTGCGGCAAGGAGCGGAGCTTGCAGTCACTTTGCGAGGAGGAGCGCGCGGGCTGCGGGCGGCTGGGGCACCCCGGGAGCGGCGGCGGCTCTAGCTGAGGCGGCCGTGGCAGCGGAAGGTTCTCTCTCCAGGGCTGGACTTAATAACTTTGGAACTGTCCTCCAGTGCCACGTCCTGAACATGAGCCTCCTCCTCTCCTTCTACCTGCTCGGGTTGCTTGTCAGTAGCGGGCAAGGTAGGAGTGTGGTGCTTGATTGCATTTACTTTCCCTCCCCCTTCCACCCGACCGAGAGGGGCAGAGGGAGGCACAGGAAGAATGAAATGAACGAACTAAAGTTACAGTTACGGTCGTTGTTAGGATTATTTTCACTGTTTATTTTAGCTGCCGCTAAAAATTGTATCTGTTCTGTGGAACCCTTAAATTAGAGAAAACACAGAATTGGAGATTGGCATCGGTGAGCAGGAGATCGAGGCAAACTGCTTCTTTTTCTGGGATCTTGGCTTGCTCTGATTTTCATGATCAAAAATTGGATGAGTATGTTGGTGTGTATTAACAGTTAAATATATGAGGCTGAGGAGGGAAAGGGAACGACGATGTTTTACAGAAGCAGCAAAAACTATCAGCATTAAACTCGTTTGTGATATATCTCTCGTGTGCAAGAAATTGAATTCTTAGAGACTCTTTTTTTCCCCTTTCCCAAGACCCCAATCCCTGACTAGGAAGTGAACGATGATGGTTTATTTCTATTGAAACTAAGAGAGGGGCCATGGATGTTGTGTGTAAGACGGCAAATGGATAAAACTAGGCATGTGTTGCAGTCATTCATTTTCAGCACCCTCCACCCTTGTTAATCCATCAAGGTTGAAAATTTTTATAGCGTCAGATTGTAATTACACCTGTAAGGGATGTTTTAGCTTGTGGAGAACTGGTGAGATTTTTATCTCTTGAGGGGGGGGGGAATGAATAGCTTACTAGAAAAACCTGAGAGAATTTGTGGAAGCTACCTCTATCTCTATAGAGGTAGATCTGAATTTATCTTGCTTTGTTTGGATAGTTCACGTTCACATGAAATATATTTATAGTAAATGGAAACATTTTCAACTGTCCAGACAAGTTTGGACATTTAATTGGGAACACAAAATGCTAAAACATGCTTTGGTGGAAGTCTTTAAAGAAAAAAGAAAATAGCTGTAATTTTGTGATGTGTAATAATTGCATAGAGTGTTATATTATTAGTATGGCATGAAAATTGTTTTTTGAGAAAACATAAATTACAAGACAAGTTAAAATATCTCTCTCCACTATATTCAATTCTAAGCATTTTCTAGCCTCTTCGGTGTTGCTCCTTTGGTCCAGCAGGGGGTGGTAGAACTCCATTTTAAAGTCAGAAATGGTTGTTTCTGTTCTTCCACACTCACTGGGTCCTTCTATCATTCTTCAGCAGGGCTTGACATTTTGGATATGAAGCCTTCCTTTCTCTGCCCTCACCTCCCTAAAGCTATATAGTGTTAATGGCTGATGAAACATGATTGGATGCAGATTTTATGCTCAGAAATCAGAATGCAAATACTGAATGTTGCTGTAGTTTATAAAGTGTCTTGGTAAGATGCTGCTCATTTCCCCTTGATAATATAGAGTATGCAAAATTTCAGTCATAGAAAAATTGCAGATATATCCATCTGAAGCTGATAGTAGCCCAGTTAATTAAATCACTATTATAGCAAAGATCAACATATACTTTATGCCCTACAGATATGTTGCTTTCATTTTTGCAGAGCTGCTGATTATGTTTAACTGTTCATTTATAACATAGACAGGTATTAGTGAATCCTAAGAAGCAGTTCCTGAAAATTGCAGTTAAAATACCACTGCAATTAACTGAGTGTAGCTAGTGTGGAGTAAGATGGGGACATAATAGAAAGCAAGTTTATGCAGACTTATGATTACATTAGGGCTGGTTTGGAGAAGAAATATATCTCAGTGGTGGAGTCTGTGAATTTATATTTATAGACACTAAGTGTGTTGGAATTTGGGGGACAAAAGAGAAATCTAGGAATGTTTAAATATTATACGCAGGCACAATTTAATTTAGATCTGTATATGTGACATACCTGAAATTTGTGATTCCCCTAATTTATAATTCAGAAAGCAGGGTAATTGTAAAGAAGGGCTCTAAAACTAAAGCATGCTTGAAAGGGAGCCTGTATTCACTGTCATGAAACAGGGAAGGAGGGGAACATCATTCGGAAGATCTCTCTATCTAGTGTGATTTAAAAATGCATGGCACTCATAGAGGCATAGATGCACATCAGAGAAACTTAGCTTTTGTGAAACTGAACATGTCGTACTTCTGTGCCATGTCTCTTAATGAAGTCAGAGATGCCGGGAAACAGCAATCCTGATCTTGGAGTCTGATTCTCCTATGCCAGTATTTTGTCCTCCAATTAAGGATGCAGAAGCAAGTATCAGACACACCACTGGAGCAGTTTTTGAAAAAAAGGGATCTAGTGTAACTCATAATTTTGTTTATTCTCTTATAAATGGGGCCATGGAAAAGCCTCCAGTTCGTGATCCCTGGGCTTACCTTAGAAATACTAAAATCCCAGCTTGCTGATTTATGTTTCCAACAATATACTCGCAGGGGATTTTATGAAGCATGATTGAAGCTATTGCTTTGGAAAGTGGTGTGCAGTTAGACTGGGGAAAGGCAATGATGATGTATTCCCTTTTAAGTAGTCAAAACGTTTTGAACTGCAGCAGTTGAGCAGCAGAAAATGACAGAAGTGAAAAACTGAGCAACTTAAGTGGATGCCAATACCATAATTAGCTAACAAGGTCTAATAGTTCTAACTTTCAACACAACATTATTGTTCTACTGTAGTGAAAGCCTTTTTTTATTACAGCAGGAATACGCCTTTAAAAGTCTCTCATTTCCACTGCAAGATTAATATCTAATGAAGTAAGGTTGGGATTTAATTGTCAAGTCTGAATTTAATTGTCAACTGAAAGGAGATTCTATAAATCTTAACTTCTGCTATTATTTTTCTTTGTATTCAAAACTTGTTCACAGTCTCCGTCATCATAAATCTCAAGTAATAACCTGAGTCTGTGATTCACAGTGTATTTGCTGTTTGGATCTATGTAAACCCAATTGCCAAACTGTAATACGTATGTTGCTGCTTTCCTGAAGCTTTATCACTTTCTAAATTTATTGTCCTCTCTTTTTAAAAAATTACTCAAGTGTGATTAATAAACATCTATTAGTGGATGCTTATTCATCCAGTATGATGAATGCTTCTGTATCAAACATAAATAGGATTTTTGTATGACACTGTAAGGTAAGAACAGAGCTCTTCATCTCTTTTGCAATCCAGTTCAACCATACAGTTAGAATACTTACCTAAGCCAAAATCATGGGGAGGGGGAGGTGGATTGCCCAGTTAATTAGTTGAACTTAAGGCTCTCTGCTTACATTTTCTCTTTCTGGTGAAGTATTAGTAAGTCATTGTTCGTTAGAGACCTGTACCTTCTAAAAATAAAGTGTGGGGGTGTGTATGTGTGGGTGTGTGGGTGACTGCTAGTTTCACTTCTACAGGAAGTGTGGGTGTGTGGGTGACTCCTAGTGTGTGGGTGACCGTGAGTTTCATTTCTATAGGAAGGTCTCCACGAACCTGTCTTCAGTATAGGCTGTTCACAGACAGCCTCTCTCACGTCCGTTTTAATCTACTCTGCTCGAATTCTTTGATATCAGCCTCTTTTGGAACATTTCTATTGAATCAACCCATATGCATTTGCACTTAGAGAAGACAGGCTGTGTGAATTAATACTGTTATTGTCAATGAGCCACCCAGAGGATTTCCTTTCCTGCTTTATGTCAAAGGAGTTAAACAGTGCATTTGGCCACTTCAGTTTCTAATGCTGAATTGGAGCCCAGGAGAAGAGCAAGAAGGGAAGGTGGTGGGCCCCTAGGGGGTCCAGGGAGTCTTTTCAATGACACAGTGGGCTAATGTTCTTCCAGAGGTAATGTCCCATCAGAGAAGCAATTAATGGAAGAAAATAACCTCATTCAGTACAAAAAGAAAGTCAAACTTCATATAATTTAGTAAATAAAATGGCTTTCTTTCATACACAGAGCTAGTTTGTAATGGGACTGAGAAATGCGCTATAGAAATCGAGGCTGATAACCAAGCCTAACAGTGTCATTTGTTTTTGTCTATTTCCTTGGGAGGCAGGAATGTGAATGGAAACAAGGTTGCCAATCAGAAGGCCCCAAGGAACTAGTCTGTTGCTCTCTCTGGCTTTTGACATTTGGGAAATGATTTTAATTTTTGTTTTCAGAGTCACTCTCATAGCAGTGAACTTTCGAAAGCGTGAAGAAAGGGATTGATAAGTGGTAGCACAAGTTTGAATTGCTTTTGTTTTTGTTTGTTTGTTTTTGTTTTGGTCCAGAATTAAATGAGTCCTCTGGGTGTTGGTGTATGCAAAATTAATTTAATAATTTTAATATTCTGATAAAGGGGTATCATTGTTTTTCAAATTTTATTAATCTAGATTCTAAATTCCCTGTGCCCTTAATACTCTCCCAATTATGCTGAAGATGGACCTATTTAAAATATTATAAAATAGCTTTAATTTTCCAAATCGTATGCTATGAGAACACTTTGAGATACCCCCAGTGCTTGTATGCTTTCATTAAATGTAATCTTCCTGAGCTTCATAGAGCCAAGGTATCTTTAATTGTTCAGCAAATAAAAGTGCTTCTATATGGCATTATTTAAAATATTTTAATAATTTTTAACTATTTACAAAGTTATAGTTATAATAGTGCTGATTCCAAATGCCTATCAACGTACTTCCTGATGTCACATATGCACTTGGGCCACTAACAGTTCATCAACCATTACAAGGCATTTTAGAAAGCCTTGATCTAATGCAACAGACTTGTCTGAGTTTAAATAGTTAAGAGGTATGATAAGGAAGTTTAAGAGTATTTACAAGCATAACAATCAATAGATGACAGTTTTAAGGATTTCAGGTCAGTTGGTCAGAATTTTCTTGGCTCCATTTTGTTATTAAAAATAGCACGAAAGCGGAGAGAACGTTGGATTTGAAATCAGAAGATTTAGACCATTAAGTCTCTTGACTTTGAAAGAGTAACTTAAATTCTCAGAGCCATCATGTGCTTATTTGAAAATCTGACATAATTATCTCCGATAGTTGCTATACTGCCATGA